AAAGGAAAGACAAATAAATCTTAATAGTAGGAATATTTCTTGAAGCTTTACTGATACTTGGCTATCAAGCGAGACCGCTTAGAATCGGTGAACAGGATAAGAGAAAATATGGATTATTGCTAAAAAAACATTTTTAACTTAAAAAAATGAATAAAAAGTGAAAAATTACTTATTACATTGATTTTCAACAAATCCGACAAATTTAAGCATTCCGGGCACAAGGAAAAAAAATCGCAGCGTTTTGAAATTATCAGCGTTTCTTTGGGACACTTTGAGGTTGAAAAGTTACAGTCAATATCCTTAGTTTATTCATTATTTGCAAAGTTATGGCAAGTTAATCAAATAACCCTAATTATGCAATTTTTACCTTTTTTCTAACCAACATTTTCACTTTGAATTTTTTTTTTATCAAAAACCCATAATTACGACTTGTAGAGAATACTTTGCAGTTTCCAAACCCCTGCTTGGATTTTCTGTACGACCTTTATTTCCCAAGAAATTGATTGTTGAAGTTAAAAATGATTTAACAATGTTTAAAAGTTTTAACTCTGAAATTATACTGCAATGTTTTATATTTCTGACACTGCCGAATTAAATCTTTTTTTTTAATGTCACCTTCAATACTGCTTTCTTTGCTTCTGCATCTACAAACTGAAAAGTGCAGCCCCACATCTAGTGTTATAATAGCCAAAACGTAGAATGAAAAAACTCCAGAATGAACAACATTTTACCGTACATATGGAATCTCATTCTGTAGAGAAATGAAAAGCACCGACAAAGGTGTGCTTGTTTGTCCAACAGGACTGAATTCACGAAAAAACCTATACTCGAGTTGCCTTTTATGCCATTTAGGTGGAGCTCTTTTAGAACTTACTTGAAAGGATTTTGTAATTTTGTTTAACGCAATTTCTGCTGAAACGGGGACTGGCAGTTTGATAACTATTATGTAGGTTGGAAAAATCGACCGTATCCTTAAAAATCCCTTACTGAGTATTTCAAAACGATAGCTTTTAAAGAGAGTCAAACTAATGGTGGCAAATTTCCTGTAGATACTTTATCATTTAAATCAAAACGTTTTTCCATCCATTTTTATTAAATATATTAGATTAAAATTACTTAATATATAAATTGATTGATTTCTTAAATAAATATTTTAAATTAAAAATGGAAAAAATAACTCGATATTTTTTTATCAGCTTTGTTAACATAAGAATATTTTTTAATAATTTTGTTTGGTAGCGTTAATATGTTAAAAACTATCATTATAAAATAATGTAGTTAATGTAGAACGAACAATTAACAATCAAATTTTCAATACGATAAATTTGTTAATACAAGAATATTTTAACATTTGGTTCAACGTGAACTAATAATACTACAGCTTAGATACTAAGGAGCTTCTTTTATAGCAAATTTAATTTCCTATGAAAATGTCATGTTACGATTTTGCTGTAAATCTAGCGGTTTGTGAAAAAAATGCAAAAATCGATAAAAATTAACTTTTTACCAGTGAAATCATTCAAATCGCATAGATCTAACTATGGGCACTTTCAAAGTACAAAAATTCCTTATAATTATCGCCTATGGACAATAAAATAACGTGAAATGCAGCTAAGACATAGATAATTAAAAAAAAAAAAATAGGTTTACGTGTTAAATGACTAGGAAATTTTTAAAATAAAATAGCGACTTCTTAAAATTAAAATTAAAAGTTGAAATTTGGTGAGAATTTTTTTACCAATGTTTTGAACAATATTTCAACAATGGAGCGAAAAAAAACACTCTAATGCACATACCTACAATACTTAAAAATATAATCAGATAACCGTTTTATCATTTGTGTTTCCATCAATTCGTACTCAATTTTTAATAAAGCATGTAATATTTATTTGTTATTTTATATAACTGAAGACTATACAGTTGGTATCAGCAAATAAGCCCATTACACCATTTTGACCTGGGGTAGGTACACAGAGTAATATTTTCAGCACGGTGGTACGATGGTTATACATAAATCCATAATAAACTAAATTTAATAGTAAAGAAACGTAGATGCAAATGTCACATTCTATTGACGAATCTGTGTATTTGCCTTTACAGCTGCTGCTACACTATGTCGTTATTTAAAAAAAGCGTACTCTAAATACTTGTTTACCCGCAAACTTAAAATTTAACTCGTAATATTTTCTTATACCGGATCTTATTTCAAGCACTGTTCTCCAAAAAACATTGTAAATAGACGTATTTTCACGTCTTATTTATTTGTTGTTTTCCCGCTGTGCAGTATCATATTTTATAACAGGAAACTGTATTAAAGGGAATAAAAAATAACGTTATTTGCAACACGTCAGTATCAGGCTATTATCAAATTTCAACCGGAGATATTTTCTCTTTGGTTGATACACAGGAATCGGCAATTCTTTTCCTTTCCTTCTTCTTATCTACATTTACACTCCGCCTTTGTATGGACGACTTAATATCAGGCCCCACATTTTATTTGTCTACAAAAAAGGCGCAATTTTTTTTTGTCGGATCGGTAACACAGAAAGACTAAATTATTGGTTTAGGGGTTTTAAATTAAACGAAATCTCAATATGTATTAAACTCCTCATAAAATACTACATTAGTGCAGTGTAATTACATTTATGTTTTTTTTAAATTTTGTAAAATTATTGAAGTTGTAGTACTTTCAAGCATTACATCCCTAGACAACTGTAGTCTCTAGCGTCATTCGCAATACGCGTGGAGAGCCACGTGGCCTCAGCGACTCCGAATACTGAAATCCCATTTTATAATCGTCATTGCGTCAGTGTTTACAATAGTTTTTTGGTAGTAAGTGTTAAAAATGGCTTGCGTGTATAGCCACTCGGAGTTGATGGATATCGTTTTAATTTATTGTGAAGCAAAACAACATTTGTATTATGGTAAAACAGGCATTTGTGTTACTCGCCTTAAAACAAAAAGGTTGTCTTGATTTTTTTGCCTAATACTAATCTATTCTTAGAAAAATGACCAGCAACTACAAAAAACAATAATAGAAATAATCAGTTTCGATACAAAATCAAAGCAAATGTTGAAAATGGCCACCTTCTGATAAAACGCCCGATTCCAATCGTTTCATCATTGATTATCTCACTTGTTCCTGGAGAAATTGTATAACGTGACATTATTCGATTTCGTAACTCGTTTCTATCTAGTACACAGGTGTCATATACACAAGAGACTTGAGGTGACTCCATACATAAAAGTCGCAAGGATTCATTTCGGGACTGCGAGCTGGCCATGCTTGGGGACTTGTGAGCGTCCAATCCAGTGATTAGGAAAGGTATTGTCTAGGTACTGACGAGCATCACGAGTGAAATGAACCGGAGCACCGTCGTGCATTTTTTTTCTTTAAATACCATAAGAAATCGTGTCCTGAAGATAAGGACCGTACTTAAGAAGCACCCTGTATATTCCAGTGCGTTGTTTTGGTGGGTACATACAGGGTGATTCTCAACTTAATTGGAGTCAATATCGTAAAAAAGAAATTGTAAAATTCTCTTAGTTTCCGAGAAAAAATTATTGAAGTTATAGTATTTTCAAGCATTACATCGCTGGACAACTGTAATGTCTAGTGTCATTCGCAATACGCTACGTGGCCTCAGCGATTCCTAATACTGAAATCCAATTTTACGATCGTCGTTGCTATAGTGTTTACAATAGTTTTTTAGTAGTTAGGGTCAACAATGGTTTGCGTGAAAGCAACTCGGAGTTGATGGATATCGTTTTAATTTATGGTGAAGCAAGACAACATTTGTCCTATGGTCAAACATTTGTGTTAGTTCGTACAAACTGAATAAGACGGGCTCAAATGTGTTTACATGTCGGTGGACAAAATTTTGAACAGTTGTTTTAACATTGATATGTCAAATTATTCTATTAATTAAAACCACAAATTAATTTTATTAATTAATAATAACAATAGCGGCAAAATTAGTTGAATTTGCTGATATAAAATAGGTGCTATAGAACTCTATTTATTCCTTTCCTTGAGAAATTCTTCTAGTTTCTGTACATTTTTAAAATCATTTTCGAACTGCCCTTTTTGATTTTTTCTTTACCACATTGTATTTTTAAGACATCCAAAAAAAATTTCTTTTTTTTTTGGATGTTCTGAATCACCCTGTAGGCATCACAACCTAAAAAATCATCGTACTGGGAAATTAAATGTATGTTACAAGATTATTATTAAAAACAATGCATAAAGTTCCCAAGGAAAACCACCAGATATGCATTTATCCTTTCTCTATCACAAAAAATTATTGAAATAGATCCATTGTACAGTCACTTTTTCTTAAGGATGTCCATATCTAGACAACTAAGCTTATAACGGAACTATTTCTGTGCACAGTCATGCCTCATAGAGAAATATACTCCAAGAAGCAATTTTTTACCACTTGACTTGCAACTTAAGGCACGCCTCCAAATTAAATAATTGATCATTTCTTTGTTTTGTCCTGCAGAAGAATTCTGTACTTGTTTTGTCGCTTTCTTAAAGGCACCAAATGACGCTGTCTTCTAATTATGTAAATGGACCTCTTTGATGTTCTGTTGCATAATTATAACAAGAACAGAAAGCAAAGGCCTGTTTTAAGAATATCTGTGTACGTAGGAAAGCTTTCTATTTTGGAACAACAAGAAGGATTTATTCAAATATAAATTAACACAAAAATAATTCCAGTTTGTCACATAAACTTCTTTTTATTGGATGCCTTTTAAGGCAAATGCAGGAGGTTGAAGGGGAAACCGGTCAGGAAAAGTATATTTTCTACGAGTAATAATAATTTGTTTAAATTGACGAAAATTTACTCAAATTTTTAATTGTTATCTCCTTGCATTTCAATAGAGGAAATTTCAAAAGAATATGCTTGCTTACAATATTTATTAAATACATTTTTTACATTAAAACATAGCCAGATCCATTGCAGAGTCATCAAATGTTTTATAGACCGCAAGTATTTTAAACGACTTACAGAAAAACAATAAAAGTAAAGTAGCTGCTGCTTCTAGACGGGATATAATTAAAAGTAAACATTCGCCGGAATTTAAAACTGAAAATTTTATAGCGACGTCTAGTTTTAATTTTGTGCCAGTCTACAAGCTTTAACTTTTTCTCTTTTGTCAGTAATCGATTATCGTGGTTGATGCCACTTCTTCGCAACCAATAGGCTCTCTGTTCTTACAACATAATGGCTCTTGAGTTTCTAGTCCAGTGAAGGTCCACATGCCATTTTCCTCGCAGTGCTTTGAATGTAAGTATGCCTAAAAAATATTCATTACTTTTAATCACATTATCAAAGCATTGTTTAAAAATTAATTTTAAACAATACTATATTGCGGGTTGACCTGATAAGTATTTAAAGTTACATCCCTTTAAATACCCAATTAAAAAATGTGAGATCCTGAATTTCACAGGTGATTTAGACCGCGGGCTTTGGTCACTGTTCGCTTTGCAGCTAATTGGAAAACGATGTACTTTTAATTATTGAGGAAAACAGGTGCTCATATTTTACAAAAAACATATTCAGTGCGCCCCAAAAGTAACGCAAAAAATCCGTTATTTATTTTGTGTTGTTTTCACAAAAATGCTAAAAACACGTCAATTAGTAAATAAGAATTGTCGTTTTGTCACGTTGGTGCGCTATATTTCATAAACCTGTGACGTCATCGAAATTTTTTTTAAATAGCACTACCTAATTTTTTAAGCATAAATCGATAGCCCTTTGAAGGGAAATGTGTCGATATAGGGTTTGGTCTACTTTACTTTGACAGGTACGAAAAAAAAAGCCAACGATTGGAATGGACATAGTTTCAATTAATAACAAAAGTAGGTATCACAAACTTATGCGCGAACAGTGCTATAGCAAAAAATGTGTTTTGGTTGATTGTAGGTACATGTTCACAGCGGCTTGAATGAGGATCAAAATGTTACCAGCCGGTAATCTGGTCACAATTATTTTAAACTAACTTTTTTAAAACAAATTTTAAAAACAACTTGTTTTGCGCCGCGTTTTGCGTTTTATTAGGTATTTTGGGGTATTCTAAACAAAATAGTTCCTATGCACTATGCTCCTAAAATCAACGGTTTCCGAGATATAAACAATTTAAAGTACGAAAAAATGCAAAAACGGTCATTTTCAAGACTCAAAAACAATAACAAAAAATCAAGTTTTTGATGTTACTAAAATTTAAAAGTAATCTTTAAACATACCTTGACAAAATACGGAGGAGTTATTTGGTGTAATTACATTGCAATGCGTATTATTTTACCTATTAACAATATACATTTTGACTTGCGCGCCGCGCCGCTCAGGCACTCCACTGTGTGCCGACCCCGTCAGCGCCTCATTTTTTCATATATCTCGACATATATTTTAAAGTAAATAAAAAATAAAGAGTAAAATGTCTTAAACTTATAAATATATTTATTTAAGCATAAAATTTTCACATTCGTCTGCATTACAACCACATAAAGTAACACATCAAGTAACATTATTTTTTCTACAACTACATGCTTTAGTTTTACATGTTTTCAAACATTTACATCAATCGATCAGGTATTATTTAACATAAATATGGGTAATACTGCACCATTTTCATCTCCTTCATCTTCATCTTCATCTTCATCTAGTGGTTGGTCCTTTAAAAGTCCCATAGCACTGCGGCCTAATTAGGCCTATTGTGCGTCCCACTACTAGTCCTATTCAGCAAGTAGATTTGTCCTTTTTACAAAGTCCAAAAGCTTCCTTGCTGACACTTCTCTCAGCTCCTTGGGTTCCAAATAGGGTCTCCCAAGGAGCGCCATTCTGCTACGTGCAAATCCCGGGCACTCGCCCAGGATATGCAGAGAAGTTTCATCCGCCGATTCACATCCTCGGCAGACCGGACTGTCTACAAACTTTAGTTTATGTAGATGTTTCCTAAAGTGACAGTGTCCCGTTATGAGTCCTGTCACTCTCCTGAGCCGGATTCTATTCAAGCTCAGTAACTCATTCGCTCTTCCATTCGAAAGATACTCCATAAGCTCCTTGGAATGGCTATGTCCTGGCCTTGAAGTCCAGTATTTCCTATGTTCTGTCTCTGTCCATTTGCCCAGAGCCCGCCTGACCACACTGGGAGATGTGCCACAGAAGGGCTCCGGGCCAATGAACACTGTCTCGGATCCCTTCCTCGCAAGTTCATCCGCTTTCTCATTTCCACAAATGCCTTTGTGCCCTGGCACCCAACACAGTCTGACTGTATTGTTGGTGGCCAGTTCAGTCAGCATCTGTAAACAGTCCCACACCAGTTTTGAACTTACCTTGTGTACGGCTAAAGCTTTAATTGCAGCTTGACTATCAGAGAATATATATATGAGTTTACGTCTATAACCTCTACGTACATTCTCTGCCAGACACGCCATTATCGCGAAGATTTCTGCTTGGAATACAGAATACCATTTTCATCTAGTTTGTAACCGAAATTTTCGATATTCAACGTCTGGTATTTAGAGTAGGTATATTGAATTTTTCCAAATATACGTTTACAATTATGCTCTTAATACGTGTAGTTTAAAGACATCAGAAGTACTTGGAATATTTCCTAAGTTTATACCCATTCCACACGTTCGAGAAAAAATATTTAACCTAGCGGCGCGGGAATTTCATTGCGATATTCGCAAATTCAAAATTAGATATTATTTAAGTAAAGTAGATATATTATTATTGTTATTATTATTATTATTATTATTATTACTGTTTAGAAATTTATAATATCAATAAACAAAAAATAATTCTGATAAATAAAAATTCAGCATTGCTAAAATATATCAAAAAGTGAGGTGATGAATATATACACGGAGTCGGCGCAGAGTGAAGTGCCCGAGCGGCGCGGCGCGCAAGTCAAAACGTATATAGTTAATAGGTAAAATAATACGCATTACAATGTAATTACACCAAATAACTCCTCGGTATTTTGTCAAGAGATGTTCAAAGATTACTTTTAAACTTTAGTAACATCAAAAACTTGATTTTTTGTTATTGTATTTTAGTCTTGAAAATGGCCGTTTTTGCATTTCTTCGTACATTAAATTGTTTATAACTCAGAAACCGTTAATTTTAGGAGCATAGTCCATAGGAACTATTTTTTTTAGAATACCCCAAAATTCAAAAACAAGTTATTTTTTCAATTTTTTTAAAAAAAATTAGTTTAAAAAAATTGTGACCAGGTTACTGGCCGGTAACATTTTGATCCTCATTCAGGGACATCTCACGGAGGTGATTATGCAAAAAAATCGAATCCACTAATTTTTTCATACGAAGCCGCCGATTTCGCCTTGTCTAATAGGCAAAATGTTATGTTTAGCTGTCACTGAAAATCCACACACTGCTGTTCGTCCTATCGCCGAAAACGCCAACATATAAATACATAAAAACGTACCTACAATCAACCAAAACACAAAACATCCACAAATTTCCATTTTTTGCTGTGGCACTGTTCTTGCAACAGTTTATGATACCTACTTTTGTTGTTGTTATTTTAAACCATGTCCATTCCAGTCATTGGCTTTTTTTTCGCTCCTGTCAAAGTAAAGTAGGCCAAAACCCTATATCGACGTATTTCCCTTCAAAAGGACTATCCATTTATGCTTAAAAAATTAGGTAGTGCTATTAAAAAAAAATGTCGATGACGTCATAGGTTTATGAAACATAGCTCAAAAAAGGTTTAAGCAACGTGACAAAATGACAATTCCTATTTACTAATTGACGTGTTTTAGCGTTTTTGTGAAAACGCAACACGTAATAAAATATGAATTTTTTGCGCTACTTCTGGGACACACTGTATATACGGTGTGGACCATTAAGAACCAAGAAAACATTTTTTTTTTTGGACATTCGACTCGACTAAAATTTTTCTATGTATAGTGGCTTTCCAGATTATACCTTAAAGGCCATAATCGAATTGGCAAGCCATGGCCTTCCGCAATTTTTTGTAGAAGAGATTTTTTGGAAAATTATTTTGAAATTTATTAAAAATCTTGTTATTAGTCTTAATCTGCATCACTTAATACCCATACTATGATACTAGATATTGTGGCTCAATTTTCTTCCATTTCTCACGCAAAATTTGCTATTGATGCCGACTTAAAATGTTAAGTTTCTGTTTCAGTTTAAATATACAGGGTGTTTCAGTTCGAGTGAATCAAATTTTAACCACAGATAGAACTCGATAAGTAATTAAGAATTGCCTTATAAACCAAGGTTCTATGTCTCACCGTTTTCGCTCTACAGGGCCGTATTGGTCGGTTTTTTACATCATATTATTTATGATATCTCTGGTATGGTTGTAACAATTTGATTCAAATCTGGTATGATGTTAATACTTACGAATGTCTATAATTTACTGCAAAATTTACAAATTTTTTGTAGGTCAGTGGCGTAGAAACGGGTAGGGTAGCGGGATTTTTTTGCCCCAACTTCTACGCCAATGACCTAATACTTATTTGGGGTAAATTTTTAGATTCCTTGGACAATTTGGCATAATACTTGTTTGAAATCGGTAAAGTGTCTCGTTCTGCCGAAAATCTCAATAATGTGGGAGGCCGTTCTTCTGATAAAGCATTTAGTTTCGTAATGATAGCAAATACATTTCAAAGTAATATTACTTTAATATTATGTATTAAATTAAAATGGAACGTTTCATGTAAAAATGTTAACAGCAAACAATGAAATATTCTTTTTCTTATTGCTGTATCTTAGATGCTAATAATAGGTAATAGTTTGTAGGTACGGTTTTTACAATTTTAAGTAATAATACAAAACGGTAAATAACAACATAACAAATAACACTAACATAAAACAATATTAAATAACATGTTCAAAATGACCCCCATTGGCTCTTATACATGCTCTGCATCGCCGAACCAACGACTGATAGACATCAAACATAATCCCTTCTGTATTATTTATTGCATCTGCAGCATCGTGGATTCTTTCTCTGAGATCATTTTCATCTTGCGCGACAGTGCGGTAAACAAGCTGTTTTATATGACCCCATACAAAAAAATCAATTGGATTAAGGTCTGGGGATCGCGGTGGCCAATGTATTGGTCCTCTATTTCCTATCCACCTATGTCCATAGTTTTCCGTTAACCATGCACTAACATCTCTTGCATTGTGCGGAGGTGCACCATCCTGTTGGAAATAAACGTATTGTCTTTCATTTAATGGCACCTCGTCTAGAATTTCATGTGTGGAATTCTGTAGCAATTCTAAATATCTTTGCCCATTCAGTATACCATTTATTTCAAAAAGAAATAATTTGTTTCGAAAAATTACTCCCCACATATTAATCTTAAATCTGCGCTGAAAGGCCCTTCTTCTTGTTAAATGGGGATTTTGTAATGACCATTGATGTAAGTTTCTAAAATTATTCAGTCCATTTTTAGGAAAAAGGCTTTCATCGCTCCAAATAATATTTTGTAAAAAGAGTGGATCTTCCGTCAAATTTTGGAGGATCCAGTTGCAAAATTGTAATCGTTGAAGGTTGTCACCTTCTTGTAAATGTTGCACTTGCTGGTAATGATATGGATGTAGCAGCTCTTGATGAAGGACCCTCCATACAGATACGTGGGGTATCTGTAATTCGCGTCCGATTTGTCTCACACTCAATTCAGGAGTATCAACTACCCGTTCGATAATATTTTCCTCGTACTGTTGAATATTACGATATCCTCTACCTTCTTGATTTTTTCTTACTTGCACAGAACCTGTTTGTCGCAGTCTTCTAAAGGTTCTTATAAATACGCCAAAAGAGGGATGACGCCGACGATTTGGAAACATTCTCCGATATTCTCTTTCTGCTTCTCGAGCACGACCATGACAATATCCGTACACAAAAATCATATCAGCGTATTCTTCACTTGAATATTCATCCATATTTTGACAAATGGTAAGTACTGTTGCAAATCTTTATAATTAAATAACAATTCCTGATGACAGATAATGTCATTATTGTTATGTTTTGCATAGCAATCTTTGTGAATACATACTCCCAAAGCGCAGACTTACAATATGAGCCTCACATCAATTGTCAATGAGGGGTGTAATTTTTTTAAACAAATTATATCTAATTTGACATAAATGAAACGTTAAATTAGCAAAAATACTTATAATAGTTTCAGAATAGCATAAATGAAATGTAAAGGAGGTATCATTGAATGTGTACCGCACTGTAGTGCAACATAAAACAGAGCTCAGAAAGGAAACTCACCACACTATAAATGCTATAAAAATAATACACGAAGTGTAGAGACGTATTGTTTAATATTGTTTTCAACCGTAATTTAATAACTGCTAAACTGAACTAAACTTGATTCCTTATCAGAAGAACGGCCTCCCACATTATTGAGATTTTCGGCAGAACGAGACACTTTACCGATTTCAAACAAGTATTATGCCAAATTGTCCAAGGAATCTAAAAATTTACCCCAAATAAGTATTAGGTCATTGGCGTAGAAGTTGGGGCAAAAAAATCCCGCTACCCTACCCGTTTCTACGCCACTGACCTACAAAAAATTTGTAAATTTTGCAGTAAATTATAGACATTCGTAAGTATTAACATCATACCAGATTTGAATCAAATTGTTACAACCATACCAGAGATAACATAAATAATATGATGTAAAAAAACGACCAATACGGCCCTGTAGAGCGAAAACAGTGAGACATAGAACCTTGGTTTATAAGGCAATTCTTAATTACTTATCGAATTCTATCTGTGGTTAAAATTTGATTCACTCGAACTGAAACGCCCTGTATGAAGGAAGATGAAGTAGTGTTAGCCAATTACTGACACTATGACTGGAAACAACAGTGTCTACTTATAACCATGAAATTGTGAAAATATTCAAAGATTCAAACTATTTATCAGTTACAATCAACATGGCTTGTAATTAGTTAGCTATTTTTTTTCATCTTCAGGCATAGCTAAAGTGTCTTAGATTTTTAAACTAACACGGAAACTTCATAAGACTAAAATTGTAAGTTTAAATAAAAAAATTATTCTTCATTATAAATTGTTGAAATGTGAAATACATATAGGGATTTTAGGAAATGCTGAATGAGGCTATTTCCCAAATTTTTAACAAAAAATGCACCAAGAAAATCGCTTTATAATTTTCTAAAAACCCCCTCTAACAAAATTGCCGCTGACTCCGGATTTCGAATTAGATCATCTAAATTGGTTCAATAAGTACTTTTAGAAGGCCACCAATATCATTAAAAAACGGAATGTGTAAATACTGTGATATAGGTATAGTTCAGAATACGACCATTGTAGCACCTTTCGGATCACAGACAAAACCGAGAGTGTTAGTGAATACGCGCATTTTTTTGTGCAAACCAACACTAATAAGCTAGAAGGAATATGACGTAGGGCGGCGATTTGGGATAGGAACTTTTCCCTTGCCATATCCAGTGCGCATTTGTGTCGCAAAAGAAGCTTGTGACATTTTTTCCTTAAATTATCCAATACTCCTACCATAAACGCCGTTTGCATTTCTGATATGTGAAATTTCCATGAAAAAAAATACATTAATACAATTTTTTTACCCGTATTGTCTCTCAAAACTAAAAATTGTAAGAAATGAAAACTGAAAATTAAAATTTGCACACAACAAAGCGAAATTCTATGACATGACAAATAAGTATTTTTGTCCATAATATATTTGAGCTATTTTTTTAGAATCGATATATCCCGAATAGTCACGTGACAAATTACCTGCAGTAGTCACTTAAGAGCTTATATGGGCGAAGGAAGTTTTATATGCGCACCATTTTTTCATGTGACAAAGCTATAGTTTTAAAGGGAAATAATGTTGGTATATAACCAGCCAATCAACCAGTTTATGTTAAAACAGAGACGAATATATTACTTACGCCTATCTATTTGAAACAGTAAATGTTACACTACAATATTTGTCTGTAATTAATTTAAACAAATATTTTACTAGAAGATGCGTTACTATTAGGTACTGATGTTAAACTTGTATTTTACTTACTGTTAAGCTCGTGGCATTGTGAAGCTGGGAGCAAATGATATTATCCTTCTCTTTGTGGTGCGATGTGGCGAAGGTAACGCAAACTTTACTGCAAACATCACTTCCAGAAACATGGCCGTCGCAAGACACATTGTGGAAAGTTTTCGACATGAGTGGTACATCGGTCTCAATCGGGTGTCTTAGGGAGAATAGAGCGCAAACACATTCGATGTCTGAAACAAGCCATTGATCTTTACTTTCGTTCTCACCAACTGATAACATTTTTTTATCCTTAAGGTATTTAAGTGAGCACCAAATCGAAGTTGTGAAAGCTAAATAAGGTGTTTCATGCCCAATAAATACAGCCGAGAACTATTTATGTATTGTCTATGAACTGCACAAATGGAATAGAATATGCAAAAGTACGTTATTATTGATGGTAGTTTGGAACTTATTTAGGTCTCGCTAATAATATGAAATGATAAAGAGGAAATGCTAAATGCATTGGTCCATTATTATTTTTTAATAGTAATATAATAAACTTATAAATTCCCAAAGCACTGCAACTCAAACCAAGCAAATACCGCTGTTAGAACTCAGTTTTAGTATATTCGATGATCTCGTACATACAATCTCGATGAGTACGGATTGAAAAAAGCCCTACTTCAAAATGCTGTAGCAATTAATACACGATGTTCCATGAATTTTAATTAAAATTTAATATTATTGTATCTTTCCAAGATGGTAATGAGAGAATTACCATTTTTTTGTGACTACTCGCACCACTCGGATATTATTAAATATACATAAATCAGTGACCAAAATATGCGTTGTTGTGTTGTACAGTTCTCGAATTTGAAGGGAAAAAAATTTAAAACTAGTAATACATTTCTGCAATTAGCTTTCTAATATTATTATTTTAGCAATAAGAATAGTCAGAGTTAATATTTTCGTAATTTTAATTTAGTATTAATACTTCTTACTGTAACTTTATACTCACTTGTCACATCAGAAATGTTTTCCGCTTACTTTTCATGTTGTACAATTAAATTTTAGTTTCTGTGTCAGGTTTAATAATTAGATGTTAGGTGTGATAAGCTATATCTGTATTAGCAATAATTATTAAGTAATGCCTTCTTTTTAAGAGGAATAAGGGAGGAATAGCTTTTATTACTTTAAATGCCGTGTTAACAGTTTTTCATATGATTTTTTACATCTAAATATGTAGAGGAAATTGTGAGGATAAAAGTCTTCCAATTAGGATTTGTTAAATTGCAACAGGAAGTCAATATTCCATTAATACTGAATTGAAGTACCTATAACTATATGGACTAAGTGTTCTAATTACTAAAATAATATTGAAAAGCTGATTAAAACAATCTAGTAACACAATTTCGTAGTAGAATATACAGAGTGATCTTTTATGAGGGGAATTTCTGATTTAAAAGTCTATTGGCCTTCAGAGCTTATCATTTGTTTTTGTTAAAGTGAAAATTAAATTGGGGTGGAAACAGTTTTAATGCAGCAGAAAGTGCAAAAACAAAATTCTTAACATTTTAACAAGTTTACTTACATTTTGTTGTATTTTCAGAATTAGTATGATTTTCATTGACTACTGAAGAGTTCAAAGGTGCTTGTGGTTGAACGGTTTCTGGGACTGATTCATCATCTATCTGTAATATAATTTTTTTCTCCTCGACATCCCCTGTTACTTTCTTGTGAACATGAATTTTAGGATTTTCTTCTGGTTCGGGTAGATGATTGTCCTCTTTGAACACATTGGTGTCTTCTAATGTATTGGATCTGGCAGGTTCATAATGGTGTCCATGGTGGTGTTGTGGACAAGCCCTAAAACATTAAGATACTAACTGAACAGAAATAAAATTTACATAGCATAAAAATGGAGCTACTGAACTAGTTGGTATTTAATGTCGAAATTAAAAGAAATAAAAACAAATTTTGATAGCATCAATTACGTTGGAAATTTCAGTAGATTCTTCTTTAGGGCAAGAATTAAAAAAAAATGTAATAACAGGAAATGTAGGAATCACGTAAACATATCTATTAACATTTAAAGTTGATGGTGTAATGTAACTCATCTGATGAATTCTGATGGATCGATGACTTCAAACGGGAAACTGGGTGTGATTACTAAAGAGGATTAAAATTTAGGAACTTCAATCCATCAAACGAAATGAAACTAGATTTTGATTTATTAAATGGCTCATTCAGAAATTTATTGATTTATATAGAAACAATACCAGTGAAAACCAGAATTCGAAAGGTAGAAACCGGAGCAGTTTTTCTGATGTTATCGATTCTCGTTCCGTATAATTGAAATGGGATTTCAAGAGAGGAAATTGGTTGTGCCTATGTAGTTTAATCACAGTTCGAGGATAGACATCAATAATTTTTATAACAAGAAATACGTGCATCATACATATGAGTATGTATTCATAAAACAAGTTAATTTCTCAAAACAGTTTGCAGAAATATATAAATGTTATTAATTATTAATTTTGATTTTAGATTAATGATCTGACAAAAGGCCTCATATCAGGATAATGTAAAAACAATAATTTAGTTACACATGGGTCAAGTGGGGATCAGTTTTTTACAGTAATAATTCATGTTCTGTAGATACTAATCTGATATTATTTTTAAGTCAAAGCTGGATTATCTGATTTAGTATCATATTTGATATCAAGTTAATTTTGATAATAAATTAAGGGTATTTTTTACTAGCAACTTCAGAAATTTTGAGGATTTAAGGATAATTGTTTCAATATTACAGTATTCTATATATTTTTCTTAAATAATTAAAATATGGGTATCTGATTTGCCATATTTATTACCATATTTAATTTCACCAACTAAAAAGTAGTGGTAGTGCAGTTCGAGCTTTAGATGCGATTGTTGGTAATATTAAACCAGAGAACATTAAGATTTCTATATTCCGTTGGGATAAAAAATTTCTTAACTTCAAGTGGGTTGGTATTTAGCAAATTTGTCATTTTATAACAATTAAATTGAAAATTCTATTTCTTATTTTAAAATTATTAGTAGTATTAAAGTATTCACAGTATGTATTTTCTTTGAAATTCACTGATGCGGCGACTTTTACAACAGAATAAATACTCATACCTGGGCAAATAAAAATCCTCACTGTAATAGGGAAATTCCAAGTCAAGGACGCACATCGTTTAATATTTGTTGCGGTATACTGAGAAATATAATCATTGGCCCACTATTTTATGAAGGTGCTTTGACTGGGGAAAGATACCTTATTGAAAATCAAATAGAAAATTAAATTTAATTTGGCACCAAGACGTAGCGCCTCCGCATAGAACCAGAGCAGTACGAAATTATTTAAATAATAGGTTTGATTTGTGGATTGGTAATGGAGGATATATTCAATGGCCTATAAATAGCCCAGACCTTACACCCTTGGACAGTTTTCTGTGGGGTTTATAAGGAAACTAGTGTAAACTTAGATGAACTAAGACATAAAGTTGATCAATGTATACAAAATTTAAGTGAATTTAATTCCCATTTCATACTAAATGACGTTGAGTATCTGTGACCATTTGTGTTTTAGTTGGTTCTTATTAATTATGTTAAAGTTAAGAATGATTTTTATTATTATCATAAAATAAACGGATAAATTCAAATTTTTCGTTCTCACTAAACATTATTTCTTTGTTAAAATAGTTGTTATATGAAATAAATTAATGATGATAAATAAATTTCTGTCAGAGTCATTTGTTTGTTCCGCATGCCTCATCTTTAGCCACTGCGACTGCGATCAGTAAGACATAAATTTCCCTCCATATCGAAAAGTCCTTAATCAAACAGTAACATATTATACACTTTTGAAAAGAGAAAAATTTAACGAAGCTAATTATGTACTAATATATATGGTGTACCATTTAAAAAAATAATTTTTCTTTAATTTAGTGATTTCCATTATTCAATAGTTTTTTCTAATACTGTATTATAAAAATTCATAAAAAAAAGCTAAAAATTTTATATTAAAAACTTTTATGTAATTTCAATAATAAACTCACAATAAGTTGTCAGATTATAGTGACTAACCCTGTACAAAATTTCATATACCTGGACAGTTTATACCCTTTGTGTTATAAAAATTTTGTGAATTGCACATTTTTTTTAATTATGATGATTATACCAGTCAGTTATACCAAAAATACATATGATGTGCTGTTTTTGACAAAATATAGAAAATCTACAGCAAATATAACTTACAAAATTGTAGCAGAAGAAGTTAGCAGCAGCAACACTTTGAGTAAGCAACAATTCATCTTGCTAGTTGTTACCAAACGAACTAAGTAATGATGTTAGTGCCAAATTCACCTTTTATATTGTTCTGAAATCATAAAAATGTTAAGGGACTGAATCATAATTAAGGATATGGACGATAAAATTTATTATCCTTACTACTTGCAGAAAATAAGTAAAAATGAGTAATATATAGTGATAGTAGACACTTCCTCTAGATATAAATATGTTTCACAGATAATTTCTCGATTAATGCATTCTAATAAAAAAGTAATAGTTTTGTGACACATTCGTTAATTATTTCTAAATGTCTTCAGATATGGAAAAAATGTTGAAATATTGATTTTTATTGAAATTGGCATGTCTTTCTTTTTTTATTGTACGTGTTTAAATGATAATTAGTTTTGATTTATATAATTGTGAATTAAATTAAATTTGTGATATTCTTTACAATTAATTTAACACAACATTACTATTAATAAAATATTTTGGTTTCGGTAAATATATTGTAAAAGCTTTTGTGCATATATGATTTATTCGTTATGTCGTCCACAGAAAAATCTATGTATAGATATATAATTCAATTTAATATGAGTTATATGTTTTTATTGTACCTGTTTTAAAATAAATTGTACTCAAATAAATTTTTCAGCTTGAAGACTTTATATACTGAGCTTTCGTAAATGATTACAAGCCACGTGACCAGTAATTTTCGTTGAAACAGTAATTTTATTACTTTTACGTTGTAAATTTCGGTAAAATTAAAAAATTATTAAAACAATAAGATCAAGATTGCATTAAAACATTATTCTGGTTCACCGGCTGGTGATTTGTGTAATTTTGCACGAAATTTTATTCAACCAATCAACGAAAGCATTACCTCGAGCATAGATGTAACGGTTTGTCATTGCTCATTGTAAACAATTTATTAATATTGGTGACGTCAAAATTTAGGGATTTTAAGGTCGGTAGTGACGTGGCTTGTAAGCATTTATGAATGCTTAGTATCTTCCCAACGTGCAGCCTCTTGGCATTTCAAGTATAAATAGGTGCAAGTAATGCCCTTATTTCAAGACTTCAGTATAAAGTTTTTATTAAAAAAAGATGTATGTACAAATTGTTTTCGAGGGCATTAAAACAAAATTAACAGCATTATCTATGATTTTCAGTTCGAGTTTTTAGATTTTTATATAATTTTATAAATTCAAAATTAATCCAAGATTGTGTCTTAAAGCAGTAAAAAATGGAAGCCAAATATACTTGATGTGACATGAAGAAAACTGCTATTGTATTTCCAATGACAGTCCTATATGTATATGATCTCTATGTCATTAAATCAATGTTAACTATAATTTATATATTCAATGAAAAAGTAACATTTAATATGTACATTGATATTTTATTAAAAAATGTATATTATATTTGTTAGAAATATTTATAAGATTGTGTTAATGTTGTAGCTAATAATAAGAATGATAAATTAACATATACAGGGTGTTTCAGAAAGACCTCCCGTAAATACAGAGGGTGATAATACGACAAAAAATAAGAATATTTTTTGTCTTATGAACTATTATGTCTATCTCCTCTTGTTTTCAAGATACAGAGCGACAAAATATTTTTTTTAAATAGAATTCTTACGAAAATTTACAAACGATGCGAAATATTTTAATGAAATTTGGTATTCCGGGGTTTTTAAGGATGCCAAATATGCTGGTCTAATTATTTTTTGGATATTTTGGAGATTACATTCCTATTATATTTTAAGTTCTAATTTTTTAAGGTTAGGTTTTTTGCCATTTGGGCTCCAATTCTAATGTACAATCTTATTTTCTAAAAACAATGTACTCTTGTTAGAACTTTCTAATGTGGACAGTTTTCGAGAAAAAAGGCTTTTAATTAGTTTTACAATATTACGGTGTATAAAATAAGTCACTTTTCTCAAAGTAGACTTATGTCAAAACTTATTGATGGATGTCTCATGAACAAGGCATACATTCTTAGGAATATTTTAAACTCTAATTAACATTACATCAAAATTTTAGTGATTGTTAGTGACTGTAGTTATTAATGACTAATTACAGTCACTAAAACTTATGTACATTAAGATTGTTCTTTATGTGAAAAACTAAACTATAGAATCCATACGTATAGCAAGATCAACCTATTTCTCTATTGACAACTAATAGTATTAATACTTCCCTTACATTTATCCACCTGTAAATAATTAGAATGTTCATTCTTATGTTTTGTAGAATACAACAATAGTCTAATTTTGTTTTTATGTACTGAATAGAGTGTATTTTAAAAAGTATTCCATTGAAAAGAGGATACCGTTTCCTCCGTGGGTAAAATAGTATTAGATTTTACATTTAGGGTAAATTGGGCATAGAAGACTAAAGTTGATATAAACCTTAAAAATTAATTAATACAGCTGGAAATTTATCAAAAAGATGATTTTTAATTAAATTAGAATGTCCGAAACGGTTAAATGCACTGGCAAATTGTGATCAATTCTTTTAGGTAATGAAGAATTTTAGCTACAGCCAACAAATTTTTTTATACTTATTGAAAATTTACATTATACATGGCGTCGTAACATTTATGTTTTATAAAAGGACCCTGAAAAAAAAGTTTGTTTTTTGTATTTAAGTGAATATTGTACCTTATCCCATTTGGTACTGTCCATATCAAATCAGAAAAACATTGCTTAATGGGTTTCTGAGATATGTCTTAAAGTAGTTTTAATTTTTTCAGCTTCAACAACCTATAACTCGAAAATAAAACGTTTCTTGGCAAAATTTAATTTGAAGTACCCCCCGGAATTTTCAACGTAGGATCTATTTAAGATCTTTAACCGTATATTCTAAACTTAACTGCTAATTTAAGGAACAGGCAAATAAATTAATAAACATATATTTTATTATTAGATTTTTACTATTAATATTTTTTCCAAGTCTTAAATGTTTGCGACAAACAACTACTATGTGGGCTACCTGCCCCAACTAGCACAAAATATGTCAGGACAATACCTAGTAAACAGCTGCTGTAAAATAATTATACAGAATAAAAACTAAAAATAATATGTTTAAATATAATTATATAGAGACACATACCTGATATAGTGAAACTTTTAAATAATGCAATCATTCAAAGGAACATCCTGTATTCTCGTTGTCCTATTATCACCCCTGACAAAGATTAATTACGTAAAAAAAGTTCCTACAAAAATATTTTGTTTCCACATTTTATATTACTTGGGAATGTTTCATCAGGCAACTTCTCTCCTCGTAGATATACAATAAAAAATATTAAAAGACAAATATAACTTTGAAACACAGTAAAATACGATCAAATTTAATCAGTTTAATTTGAAGATTAGTTTCGTAAATCAAATAATATAAACGTAAGTGGTATTCAGAGTCGTTTTTTAACTTCACTCGTGACCTTTTAATAACAATGAATGTTTGTTTTTGTAATAATTAAATAATTTTCTTCATTTCCAAGGCCTATATATCATTTTTAATACATACTTTAATACTTCAGTTTTCAAATTTGAAATAAATCAAAGTGAAGACAATTTAATTTATTTATTAAATTAACTGCTTATATTACTTAGCTATTGATATTGCATAGGTATATTAGAAGACCCTTCAAATTCTTGACAGGNGTTTATAATAGTTTTTTAGTAGTTAGTGTCAAAAATGGCTTGCGTGTATAGCAACTCGGAGTTGATGGATATTGTTTTAGTTTATGGTGAAGCAAGAAAACATTTGTATTATGGTGAAGTATTTGTGTTATGGTGAAACAAGACAGAATTTGTGTTAGTTCGTAGAAACTGAGTAAGACGGACCCAAATGTGTTTATACGTCGGTGGACAAAATTTTGAACAGTTATTGTAACATCAGGTATGTTAAATTATTTTATTATTTAAAACCACAAATGAATTTGATTTATTAATAATAACAATAGTGGCAAAATCAGTTGAATTTGCTGATATAAAATAGGTGCTATAAAATTCTATTTATTCTTTTCCTTGCGAAATTCTTTCAAGTTTTTGCCCGTTTTTATCACTGCCGCCTTGACGGTCACATTGTGCCAGGTCAGGTTTTACAGTGGACCAGTTTCCAGGGCTGTGCAGAAGTGTATTTTTAAATCATTTTCGAACTGCACTTTTTGATTTTTTCTTTACAAAATTGTATTTGTACGGGTCCCCTGTATATCCAGTTTTTTTTTGGATAAGTTCTGAATCACCCTGTATATATTTTTATATTGATTGTCTCACTAAAAAAGTGGTATGTTCCTTAAGATTAAATTAATGTATCCTTATGTGTTGTGACCCGCTGAATCCGAATCCGGGGCCAGAATTGCTCCACCACCACCTTTTTTTTTAAACCGCGAAAATCCGACCTTAAATACAGAAAATATGGAAAATTGGCAGGCACACAGAAAAAGAAAAGTGATGTGTTCCAAAAACTAGATCTATGTATCTTTATAACTTTGAATCCGAATCCGGGGCAAGATGGCTTCATCACCTTCCTTTTTTTTAAATCGCGAAAGGTCGTCCTTAAATACAGAAAAGGACCATGGTTATATGTACATATTTTGATAAGCAGAATTTGAATCCAAATTCAGAATTGCTCCATCATCGCCCTGTTTTTTAAATAAAGAAAAACCATACTTATAATATACGAAAAATCCCACTCTTACCTTCATTGATACAGACGCTCCATTTCCTTGATATCATGAGGAACCGTTCACCCTGTTCTTCGCTGTAGTCTTCGATTTGCTGTGGAAAGTAGTCAATATGAGTGTCTAGTAAATGCACTTGCAAGTTCATCAGGCGACTGTTCGAAATTTTTCAACAATTCCTCGACTAAATGCTGATAATCCTCTCTTCTGATTCCCCAAGAAATTTTGAACGACGTTCTTGAAACTTAGCCATGCTGCTCTTTCAATGTCATTCATTTCTGTGGTAAATTTTTCATCTGTGAATACGAATTTGAGGTCCATAGAAAATAACTTCTTCCAGTTT